TTTTAAAATTTTATGCTAGTTCATATTGCTTGTAATTCTACATCATCATGTTGTCATATATTAGTTTTTGCTGAGAAGAAAAAAAACATTTATGGTTGAAAATTTGTTTTTCATGGTCTTAAAAAGCCTTTTTTATTATTTGTTTTTTTTTATAGATTTGATTCATATAAGATATTATAATGAAAGTCAATGAATTACAATTATAGTAATGAAGATGAAATACAATACAAACTTTTTTGGAAAAAAAAACTCCCAAAGTGGAAGAGAAAATCTCAATTAATATATGGAGAATAAGATCCACACGCAAGTGGGGAGATTTGAACTACTAATCTCCTAGTGAGGTACAGGAGTGTTGGACAATTGGACTAACCCTGTTGAGTATATATATATATATTTTAGTGAACTTTTTTAATATTTTAAGAAAATTGAAAAATCTAGAAATCCCCTAGATGTTGATTTGTGATTATGTATCAATTTTAAGCAGTATATAACAATCCCAATCAAACAATCAAGACAACGATTTTAACGTAGAGAAACCACAATTGAAACACCTCCAACTGTGATAAAAAATCACCGGTAACAGCCACAAAACAATCCACTAAAAAGATATAAAGAAATTACACAGGTATGCTCTTAATTACTTAGGGAATCCACACTCGAATTGAACCAACCCCTATGTGCCCCTTCCAACCCCGTTTTCACCTCGGAATTGTCTTGACGATGAACCACTCCAGAATCCACCAAAGCTTCAGGCTCAAGCTCTTCAGAATCCACCGAAGAACAACTCTCTCTTTTGTGTAGAATGAACAAACAAACCTTTGATGTTTTCTTCTTAACCCATGAGTTGAATACTCAATTAAACATTAAAGAAAATTATCAAAATATCCCCAGATATAAACCTTAATATCCAAAAAGAAGATCTGGAGTAGTAATCCTAAATTCTGACAGAAACACGTACTTATAGAAATATGGGACTGCGAAGCTCGCTCGAGCGAAGACTCTCTCGGTCGAGCGAGGAACCAAAAATGCATGTTTTCCATAAGTGACTTCGCTCGAGCCAAACAACCTACGCTCGAGCGTAAAACCATCTCTTTCAAGTTTTTATACGGACGCAGCCTTCGCTCGAGTGAGAACTCCTTCGCTCAAGTGAGCAAGGGCGGACATGCAACTTCGAATGCAATTTTGAATTTTGCTTAGGGGGTGCTGCCCCTCGACCCAGCCGTGGCACTGCCCTGGACCCGCCAAGGGGCGCTGTCCCTTGGATCCCCATGAGCTGACCGGGCAGCTCGATCCCCATCATAATTAACGAAGTGACAATCTTGAAAGTATTAACATCACAAACTTCTCTGCAAAGCACAATTCGGGTTGGATTCACATCTAAAAACTCACAGCCTCACTGAAATAAAAAGTGCGAAAATAAGTACAACTGAAAGGAGTTTTGCCAAACGGGATTGCCAAGAATAAAAATCTAACAAAAATTTTGTACTTTTTAGATGCACTTCGTACAAATACAATTAAAAAGTCTAATATTTGTAAAAAAATAAAAATAAATTTACTAAATACCAAAAATACAAAGAAAATTAAAAATTCAATATATTTTTGTGTATTTATTGACTTTTTAAAGTATTTTTTTATGAATAATTTACTTTTTAAGTATATCTAAGTTAGGTACATTTAAAAAGTAAAAAAAAAAATGCTTAAAATATTTTTAAAAATTCACTAAAAACAAAAAAAAGAAAAGAAAAGAAAAAACTCAATTTTAAAAAAATTGAATTTTAAAAATTGAAACCAAACAATATGATTAGTTATTAAGTGACCTGGTGAGAGCTAGGACCAACAAGTGGCGTCATAATAGACTATAAATTGTGTTCAAACCTTATTACCAAGACCAACAAGTGGCATGATAATAAACAATAAATTGTGTTCAAACCTTATTACCAACTTGATAATTAAACTAGAAGTACATATTTAACATGCTTATGAATGATCGTTTAAGACTCGATTTTCTCAAGATTCTAAATTCCTTTAATTTCTTTCATGTTTATCTCAAAGTAGGAAAAGAAATTTCTACAAAAAATTATTGAAAGGCTTATTAGAAAACAATTTAAAATCCAAAGGTTCAACAAAAATAAATCTTCTTCTTCAATGGCCTCACCCATGACAATTAGTTTTAGATTGGTTGACTCTAAATTATCTAACATTGATAAAGAATATTGTGGATTTGGACATACAATTTAGCATGTGTTTTTGGTATATACCAATAGCTTATAGGGCCTAGATAAGTTTGACTTAGAAAATTTGAGACTAAAAGCAAGCTCATATATAACGTGCATGTTAAAACTGTACAAAATGTGCAAAGTCAATATTATTGACCCAAAAAAAAGTTTTCGAATTGAGTAATTTGGCTTGTTTGTTTGTTGTTTGTTTGTTTTGTGTGTGTGTTTGTGTGTGTGTGTGTGTGGGGGGGGGGGGTATACCCATTGAACACAAGAAAATTGTATCTAAAAAGTATGAAATTAGTAGTAATTTAATTTCAAACTAAAACACATATTATAGAGTTTCTTTGATATGCTCCAATGGGGCTGCTAATTGACCTGTTATGGCTATATTATAACAGTGGGTGGTCCAATGAGATAATCATCCAAGTTGTCAAATTTTGACATTGTTATTTTTAATATTATATTTGATACAAATTTTAACAGATTGTTTTTTGCATTGCTATCAACAGTTATAGAGATTCATCAGCGGTTAGAAAGATGAGATAATGGTTATGTTGAAAAAATGTCATAAGTTTTAAAACAAGATTGTCAAATTTTAATATTAATATATTGTAACGTAACCAAATTTGGCAATAATTTGACATGAATCTCTAAAAGGCTTTCCCCCCACTACAAGAATTCGCACCTTGTTTGGGAATAGACTAATTTAGTAACTTTTTGACTATTTGGCTAAAATATGAGCTAAAAAAAACTAGTACGTTTGGGATGACTTTTTGACTTTTTACGAAAAAGATGTACAAAAAGTAGAGAGAAAAGAGAATCTTTGACTTTTTTGTACGATTTGTTGGCTTTTTGATTTTTTTAATGACTTTTTGACATTTTAACTAAAAAAGCCACTTGCCAAACGAGGCCTAAAAATTTAGTCGGCAAAAGTCTATTTTTAGTCAGCAAAAGTTATCCGTGACTAATTTTTTTGGTCGCCACTTTAGTTGCCAATTGAGGGTCGCAAAAAATAATTAGCGACTAAAAAGTTTTTTAGTCGCGAAAAAATTATATTTGCCGACTAAATTTTCGATCGTTAAATATATAATTACTGTGACTAATCCATTTAGTAGCTAAAACACTTTAGTCGCGAAGTCATAATTTTCCCAACCAAATAGTTTGATCGGCAATTGTGGCCCATTTCCACGACCAACAAATTTGGTCCCCAATGGTCACATTCCGCGACCAAAAAGTTTGGTCGACAATATATTCCACAACCAACAAGTTTGGTCGTCAATTGTCATATTCCACCACCAAACATGTTAGTCGTGAAATAAAATGTTTGCACAACTAAAACTTTAGTCGGCGATTGATCTATTAGCGACGAATTCCTTTTTGGTCGCCAAAATTAACGACTTTAACGACTAATTATTTAGTCGGCAAAAGTATTAGTTATCTTTCCCAACTAATCAATTGGTCGTCAAAACAAGAAAAAACAAGATCAACATTTGGTCGCCAACATCCAACAAAATAAATCTGTGATTCATAATAATTCATCCAATCCATTTAATATAATATGTAATTTACAAGCATCATTCAAATCAACTGAATCATGAACATTCGATATAAATCATCCAAACTGAACTTGTAATGAAAGTCATCAACTATTATAATTTTCCATCCACAAGTAATTTCAAACTACATATTCTTCCAATTAAAAATCCACTTATAATCTATATAATCATCCAAGTCACATCCATCTAGCATAATAATTTAAAACACAACAATTAGTTGTTATTATGTTTTAAATTGTTATCCATGCGCATCTATCAAAAAATATACACACTAATAGTCTATCCAAATATTTTCCATACACATTCATCCAAAAAATATAACTACTAGTCTTTCTAAAAATATAACTACTAGTCCACTCAAATCTTTTCCATACACATCTATCCAAAAATATATATTCCTTCCAAAAATGCTTATAGTCCCAATCAGTCAAGTACAATTTAGCTTTGCGCACGAGATAATCCATCTGTACCAAAGAAAATGAGAAATAATATCAGGTAAATTTTTGTTGAAAATATTTGTACATCACTTTATTGTAAAATTGGACAAAAAATGTAAATTCTACATCGAAAGTAAAGGAAACATTAATAAATTAACTGACTATCAATACCATTTGGTAAATAAAACATCATTCATATGTATATATCAATTCTAACTATTGTTCCACGATATGCCAATATTGACCTATGTTTCAACAATGCAAACTAAGTTAAAATAGTCTTTCTACTTCTGAATAGTCTATATGCTTTGGTTGAACTTTTACTTGGAGGAGGGTAAGTGTGAGAGCGGAGTGGAAGATATGAGGTTGGAATTATCAACACAAGCTCCAGCAAAACAACAAACCCATCTCTCTATCAGAAGCATATTACCAGACTAATGTATGTGTTTTTGTTTGAATAGTCTATATGTTACCAACTAATGCATGTGTTTTTGTGAGAGCGTAGTAAAAGATACTTTTGAATAGTCTATATATTTTTGTCTCTGGCCATCTCTACAACTACTATTTTCACTTTGGGCCACTGCATGAAGGGGTGCAAACATGCCTTTGTAGCTTGGAAAGAGAGCATCTAATAAAACTTATGCTTTAATATGCAGATGTAGAATCTGAAAATCAATTCCCTCAGTAAAAGGTTTTTTCATTAGTCACACACTTAACTGAAGTGCACATTACTCAAAACTTATGTAGTTAAGAAGTTTACAATTCCATACGAGAAATTCCAACCCATATGCCTTCCAAATATGAAAACTGAAATTAGAACATTCTCAACCATTCTTATATTCGTATCCTTCCAAAATTATTCAGTTTCATTATAATTTTTGCAAACAGTGGCAGCAACCAGGTCAAAACACTGCAAAACCTAATTTATATAGCCTTCGTTATGCATGAGAAGAATGTCAGCTAACAAGAATTGACTTTGCAAAATAGAAAGAGGGAAAAGTTTTAATCAAACCAGTTCAGTAGTTTGGAGTCCTGTGTGTGATGGCGACAAGAAACTGATGTCAAGACGAATTGATTTCATATCCTTGTAATCATCAGTATTCATATTTGAACACTTTGGTGAAGCAGAGCTTTCCAAATTAGCCATATTGGTTTGAAAAGGATTGTCTCCACTAATCACCTCAGTCGGTTCTTCTTTCAGTGTAGATATGGTGGAAACAGCAGGGGTAATCAGATCATGAGGAACTTCAACAAGAAGCATGATGATGGGAACCTACAAGCAGAAAGGCAGCAAGATGAGATGACACATCAGCAGAAAAAGATGTCTGAAGATAAAATATAACGAAAATAAAGAGAGGCATTACTGCAGTATTTTCTACAATCTTGAGTGAATCACTTTTAACCCACTCCTGGTTAGCAAGATACCTAGCTGCATGCTGGAAGGAAAATTTGGCAAAGCGTCAAGCCTAGAACAAGCTAAAGCAATATCAAAGATGATAAAATTGTCATATTGAACTGCTCAAACAAATATGAGAAGATGGCATTCAATACCCAATTTTTACATAGAAGTTTCAAGAGAATGAAGAAGAGCTGTGCAATCGCAAGGAGGCTAGTGAAAGCATAAAGATGAAATCCGTGATGAGCATTCAAGTGCAGCACAAGTCAACATTCACACTGGAAATAAAAAGCCAAATGATGCAAGACCCCACTATTTTAATTTTAAAGCCTGCAACTAGGAAGTGATGGTTTGACAGATCATATGTAAGATTATGGTTCATGAGTCAATGAAATTTAATAGATTGATTTTTGGTTTCGTAACTAAAGGAGATTGAACAGTACTGGAGCAGAAAAATATTAAGCAAAAAAGAAAAACTAGAGAGGAAAAAAAAAAGGACATGACTTGGGATTTCTCCCAGCCGGCTTACACCCAATTCCTTCCACCTGGATGCACCAAATAATTTCCAAAGTAGAATATCTTCAGAACACCAATCATCGAACACCCTAACTCCACTTAAACCAAGAAAAAAAACAAAAACAAAACCAAAACAAAAAAACAACAGGCAAAAACAGAGCACTCTTGAATAAGAAAAAAATAGCGCTTCAACTGACTTAAGCTAGGCCATCTCAAACAACCCTTTCACACCTGTTTCTCTTAGCCCTATTAAGGTGAGATGCGAATATGCTTCTTTGGAAAATTGATGTAAATATTTACTTTCAAAATCATGCAAGAATAACTACAGAACTTTCCTTGCTGCAGCAATGCAGACAGTTTTTAGTAATTTGATTAACATTTACACACTGAGACAAACGAACACAAATTACCTGGAGGCAAGTTTCTTTAATACCATTGCGTCCCTCCAAAATCCCAGGTTCTTTAATAGGTTCCAAGAAAATGACAGCACGTCAGTTTTTACAAATATAGACGTAACCAGGGTAGTTACTGCAGATAGTTCTCACCAAATTCCTCACTGGAGGGAGACAAACCACAAGAGCCTTCAATTTCAATAACAAACCCCCGTGCACACAAGCAAACAAAAGCTAAGGTAAGGTAACCAGAGTAGAATATGATATATGCACATGAAAACTCACCTTATAATATGATATATTCTCTTTGAAATCTAATACTAGATAGGATAACTTTACCTCTTGCTAGCCACATATAGCGGAAATATTCCAAGTAATATGAAAGTAACTTGGCAATATCTTAAATGATATGAATAGTAGGCATGGAAGCTCAATAAAATTTTGAAGCCAGGAGGCTGCAGGGCCTGAGACAGATTAGTGACAAGTAGAGAGGAATAAAACTTGAAAGATACAAAAACAATTCTTAAAAACAAAATAAAAAAGCTCTTATGCTAGCTATCCCAACTTACTTCACAACATAGCACCATTCAATGGATAGAAATTAGAACCTAATGACACCACAAACTACATTCAGAACTCAACTGTTTAATAGCACCAAAAGATGCAACACAGAATTTAGAGGCATGGCCAATTAAGGTTACACATTTCCAATGGTCAAAAGTTGGATTTAAAAGTAAACACGGATGGCACTTCACTTGGTAATCCAAGAGGAGGAGAAGAATTATTTAGAAAAGGAGACATGTATTAAAATATTTTAACAAATACGGATGGCGCTTCATTTGAAAATTTTAACAAATATTTTTTCAAACATATGAACAAAGCAGACATATATTAAAAAAAATGCTCTTTTAAAGTAAATAAAGGATCATAGCAACTTTGAATTTAGACCGGCAAAATATGTAATAGATCATCAAGAACGTATCTGACTGTGGACCATCAATTATCCCAAAGTATAAGTACAAACCAAAAACAGCTTGAAGCCTTATTCTATGCGAACACTGATTTTAGAACCCATGTACTGAGGTTCTTACTAGCATTCCTACTAGTAATTTAGGTTTAAGGACATACCACCACTACAAAAGTTCGTTTTGCCTCCAAAGTTAAGCAATGACCAAGAGCATTCCATTTTCTGGAACAGTTATCAGGGACACAAAAGCCCCGTTTGGTAGAGCTGTGGGAAAGTGATTATAGCTTATAATTTAACAGTTTATAGTTTATAACTGTGAATATAAGCTGATTTTTGACTTATAAATTAAATTTCTCCTCTCCCACTCAAAGAATAAGTTGATTTTTGATTTACAAAAAGTTATAAGCTGTATTGTTAAGCTGAACTAAGCACATCAAAATAGCTTAAATTAAGCTAAAAGCTGAAATAAGCCCTACCAAACAGGGCCAAAGCCGCCTATAATACTACTGCATCTGATGGAGAGGAGCTGAGAAAACATAAATGCCATTAGTTTGACAATCCAAAAAACAAAAAAACAAGCATAGAATTACTTGAAACATAAATAATAAGTTAAAAAAAACATGCTGCTGCTCACATTAATTTTGAAGGGGAGACGAGCGTTAATTTTGACATAAAATAATAATTTAAAAAAATAAAATAATTACTCGAAACATTAATTTGGTTGTTATGCACAAATCAAACATTTCACATTTACATACTGAGAGGGAGATTTTCGCATGGTTGTTAAAATCGCGATCCGGATTGTACGATCCTACGATCCTACTTTGCCAAAACGATCCAGATCGTTGTAGGATCGATGTTATAACAGGATCGCAAGTAGGATCGTGTAGGATCGCATGGGATCGTAGGTAGGATCGCAAGTAGGATCGTAGATTTTATGATTTTTTACCTTATTTTTAATATGTATCATTTTAATTTTAATTTTTATCTTTTTTTTTAATAGAAAGTAGGATCTTACGATCCTCGATCCGATCCACCAGACCCTCTCACCGATCCTACTTAGGATCCCGATTTTAACAACCTTGGATTTTCGTAATCTGGGCTTGGGCCGCGGTTCTGGCCGGGCTGAATGTGGTCCAAACATATTTGGGCCGAGCTGGGTTGGGCTGAGCCGAGGTGAAGCTTGCTTGGCCGAAGTCCAGACCAGAGTTGGTCGAGATGATCCTTTGCCAGCTTGTCTTCTCTTGTTCGCTCTTTTTAGCTCGGTGATCGTGATTTGCCGCAGACCGGCCTAACTTATCTGGAGCACAATCGCACTGGAGTGCTGCTGAGCTTGGTTGTGATGGAGCTCGGCGAGTGGCACTGTTGAGCTCGATAAGTAGGCCGGTCGAAGGAGGCCGAGATGATCGTCTGCCGATCCAGGTCTTATGATCGCGCATGTAGCTCGGTGGGAAGATCTCCCTTGGACCGGCCTAACCTGTCTGGAGCTCGGCCGTACTGGGGTGCTACGGGGCTCGGTTATGATTTAGCTCAGCGAGAGGCATTGTTAGGCTTGATAAATAGCTCGGTTGAAAGAGGCCAAGATAATTACGCCGGACTGCCCATTCCCACCGATGTCAATTAGTGGTTTGATTAGGTGATGTTTGGCTGAATTTGTGCTGACAGATGGAAGAGCAGCTCCACGTGTCAATGAGCGAATAGATGCAGAGGTAAACACAGAAAAGTGTATAAGCATGACTGCTCCCCCCATGCTAGGGATGATCATTTGGTGAGATACACTTAGACATTCAACTCTCTCCTCTCTCTCTCTATCCCTAAGTGTGTGCTAACTTGACCATCGGAGGGATTTTCCGGCCACACACCACCAGGTAGCTCACCGACGTTGTGTTCGCAGGTCGATCGGACAGACTTGGAGCTTGAAAGAAAGGAGTACGAGCTCGCCGAAATATTTGCTCCCCGTACAATTCCCCGTACACATACCATCTTGGAGCATTGTTAGCATCAATCCTTAGGCTTCTTTAGTACACTTTTTCCTCTTTTTTACATGTCCTTAGGCTTCTTTAGTACACTTTTGCTGAAGTATGAGATCATTAAGCATTTTCTAAATCAATTAACAATATATAACCCACAGAAGACACACAAGAAGTTTTGGCTCTCTCAAATAATGCTCTATTTGTTGAAATATTTCCTTCTGTTTCACATTCCAATTTTGTAATATTCTCATTTTCATTTCAATGATGTTTCTGCCAATTTCTTATCCATCACCATAAATATCAATCACCTAAAAGATGTTTCTGATAAATATCAATCGACAACTAAACAATTTTCATGCACACCTATAAGATTTGGCCACCAGCCTTGGCAAACTTCAGCAGTAAATCCATAAAGCAAGTCTAACAACTGAAACCAATCAAAAATATAATAGGCACATGGATAGTCACTGTGGTTTTTTTGCCGAGTTTGGACAAAACAAAAAATATAATATTGAGTCTATTGACACACACATCTGTTGTCCCAACATCATCTAGTCTCACAGAAATTTTTCAATAAAAACACTAGAAGGTGAAAAATGTGCCATAAACACGTAAAAAAAAATCCCTTCACAAAAATACTGCACTGTCTGGTGCTCATCCTTAAAACTAGGACTAGAATGTGCGATTCAGTAATGAGATTACGAGATCCACCCTCCGCGCCTTGAGCCCAATCCAAAATACCTAATTTTTTACTAAGTTTTGCGGCATTGACTCGTCGTTAGTTGCACAAATGTAATTACAAAGATTGATAATTGTCCACACTTCACCCAATTGACAGAGCAACAATGAACAACACAGCGCAAAAATGACTCACCTTTTACACAAATAACAAACCCACTTCACATAGCTGAGAACAAGCACTACCCACATCATAAAAATCAATGCTAAGTTTCGTAAATATCAACAATTTGATTCTTGCTCGAAATACTAATTAAAAGCCCTAAGTTTTCTTCTTGCTATGTAAATAAAACTATATTGAGCCTAAAATCTGAGAGTAGAGTACTCTAAAAAGAGATAGTTCTCTGACTAAAGATATAACGCATATCACCAAGCTTTAGTAAACCCTAAGTCTATTGGAAAATTTATTCTAAAAGAAGAGACACATGTGCACTCAATTTTTGGATCGTAGATCTATTTGCTGTTTCTTCTTTATGCAGTTTTTCTTTTTGACTTCTTCTTCGAGGATGAAGAAGAAGTCGAAGATGAACAGTTCATCATATGATGAAGCTTGGATCCGATCAGATAACAAAGATAGGGTTCGGACGTTGCGAATTTCACCTTTTCATGAGAAAAGTGAGGGTTGTACCAGTTGTAATTGCCTCTGTCGTACTTCTGGAACCACTCCACCTTGTATCGCTAAGGCCTAAGAGCATCTCCAACCCATCCTCCATATCTTCAAATATGGAGGATTTGCTCCTCCAACCCACCCTTCAAATTCATCTCCATTTGGGAGGAGAATGAGTTCATCCTCCATATTTGGAGGGAGGATGAAAAAATGAAGGATCCTCCAAAATACTATTCATTTATAAAATTGTTATTATATTACAAATAACTTTTACTTTATAAATTTAATTTTTGTAAAATTGACATCGTTAAAAAGTATAAAATCATACCTTTAAAATGAGTATAATATTAAATATATTTTACAAAAATTTTAAAATTAAATATTTATTAATGAATAAAAATTACTTTTTGAATAGAGTTTGAATGAAGGAAATGAAAGTTTGTGATTGGAGTTTGAATGAATAGTAGCCTCCTCTATATTTACTTTTTGAATAAAAAATATTATTTTCATCCTCTTAGTGAGAGTATTGTATTGGAGATGCTCTAAAGACGAAAACATGCTTCCCTAACACGACCTTGGCCAATCGATTGAGACTGTAGTGAAATGAGAATTCAAATCCATCGGATTCGCAACCCCTTCACCGCCATAGAATTCAAATCCATCGGATTCGCAACCTTGATTTCGTGGTTCCTTTCGAGCTTCTTCGCAACAGAGGCCATGTCCATACCAACGGTGATGACTCAACGATCATCGAAAAACTTTTGGAGAGATTTGGGGATAAGGTAAGAGAGGTGCCGAAA